TCCCGAAGCGTCGTTCAGACGGTGTAGGCGACGCGAGCAGGGCGTCGATGACGAGTTCCTCGCTGGTTGTGTCGGGGCCAAAGCGACTGTGATATAATATATTGGTGCGGCTCTTTGTGGCGTCTGATGTCCACATATCACGTGCAGTCTTCAATGAATAACAGTACGATACTAGACGACAATTTTCAAAAATTTCTGAGATCAGTACTACACAAAGTGCTCTCTATGCAGTTACAAAGTACTCTGCGATGCCCCTCTGTCGATGGCGCCGCCCACATACATAAGCAGGCATCGGATATTGTGCACAAGGGTCTGAAATTGGGGGACGGCCGATCTCTGCACTAATCACTTTCATCTCCCTCGTTGTCCTGTCCAGTCTGAGGAAGGGGGATCTTATGGCCGCCGCACCGGCCCATGATATTAGTGGGATCATACTTCGCCTTCACCCTCTTCAACCACTCCATGTTGTCCCGATAGATCTTGTGGGTCGGCACCGTCTCCAGCGACAGGTTGTTGTAGTATGCTGGCTTCCTCGGCGTCAGGCCCAGGTTCCTCGCCACGACTCGGATGCGGTTGAGTGTGCCCTTCAGCTTCGTGAGCCAGAAGTCGTCATCGGCTTCGCTCTCCCAACGGATATATACGAGCATGGGGCCGTAAGGCTCGCCGCGTTTGTGCGGGAATGCCGCGCCCGGCAGGCTGTTGTCGAAAATAGCCTTGTGCACGGGCCACGCATCCACGATGACAGACAGGCCGCGGTGCTCCTTGAGGTAGCTCGCAGCTTTCTGTGGAATTGAGTGAGATTGTCGCACTAGGAAACGCACGGAGGGTGAGGCACCTCCGCTTCTTCTCCCATCTTGTCGAGCAGAGGCTTGGTGTACTTGGATATCATGAGGCAGCCGAACCTCCCCCTGCAGTACCGGTCGACATGATTAGGCGACCGGGACAAAGAGAGAAGGAATACGAACCGTTCGTTCGATTCACCCATTTTTTCTATCTTCTTCGTCACCATGACCCGTCCGTCGGTCTCATTCCTTACACTGGAGTTGAGATACTTCATGCCGCCTTCGGGAACGTCGCTGTCGTCTAAGTCGCCAGAGCCGTCATCGTCGGGATTGTCATCACTATCGTCGGAGCGAATGCCATGCAGTTCGCGAAAGGACATCTGATGAAAGTACCCAGTGACTGCCAAATCGCTATCGTCCGTGTCGCGCCAATTAGCCGTGCGACTCGGGTAGAGGTCGTTGTACTCAGGAGGTGCATCAACTTGCGCCGAAAAGTTGAGATTCCGGCTGATGGCCTGAAGCTGAGGAGTACTTGAACGACTCGGCGGCCTGTTCGCTCGCGGCGAGTAATACTCAACAAGCGATCTGTCGACGATCGAAAGGTGTGTCCTCCCAAGCTGCCACCCCGCCGGGTCCATTTTCCAGGACTCGGAGCTCTCCTGTAAACTGGCAAACGCTTGGAATGGAACGTCTTGCTTGTGCTTCGGCTTCTCTCCATCGAAGACACAGAAGACGGAGATAGTGTATTCAGGCTACGGGTTGGCGGGTTTGGTTAGAGCAAGCTTGAGGATGTATGAGAGGAGTACGCACGTCGGGCTTGCCTCTGACGAGCTCGTGCCGGAAGGCAGCTACAACACAGGCTTCCTTCCTTGTCTCATTTTCGACGAAGTCAATCATCGCTTTCTTGAATACTTCAGCGCGATCGCCTTTGAGCAAGAAATAAGAGCCCTGAAAAGATAAGTCAGTTCCGCAGATGTTGACTTAAAAAGCCGAAACAAACATAGGTCGATGTCTCTTGGGCAAAGGTCCTAAGGGTGAACTTGGTGACAATGCCGAAGTTGTTTCCTCCGCCCTATGTAATTGGTTTATTAAGAAGAAATAAAATAAAATAAAGATAGCAAATTAGCTTGGTCTGCACATTCTCGTTAGTGGAGAGAATTCATACGCGCAAAGCTTGAAATAGATCACTGTTCTTATCCGCATTGGCTGTGCGCACACGGCCATCGGGCGTGACAATCTCGAATTCGACGACATTGTCGATCCCAAGGCCATGGCAGTTGCTCTTCAGGGAGTAACCTCCACCAACCAACCAGCCGCCGACACCGACACCATCTGCCGATGCCCCTCCGACGATGTTGCGCCCTGTGCGTGCGAGCTTGCTATACACCTGGGCCCAAAGGCAGCCAGAGCCAATTTCGACGACCTGATTTTGTGAATCGTAGCGGATCTTGGAGAAACCAACCATCGAGATGTGAATCCCAGTCGTGGAGCTGAACGTCGGCGCCATGCCATGACCCCCGCCCTTGACCTATGGAGGCATCGGTCTCCTTCACGAATAATACTCAAGATGAATAACGTACAGCGAATTGGACGTCGAAGCGATTGAGTACTCTCATCTAAGCTTGCCATGGTTAACAGATTGCGATGGTAGGGCGCAAATACCTACAATCTTGCAGAGATCTTTAACGTTGCCAGGTTGAACGGCAATTTGCGCGACCTCGCTGCTGCTAGCAAGAAAATGACAGATAGAATCGTTGTACCCAGATGAGCCGTATTCGAAAAATCTCGACGACGATCCCGGGGCTTGGCAAATGTTCCCAATTTCCGAAATAGCAGCAGAAAGCTACTCGCTCGTGAGCGTAGCCTGAATCATGGCAAGGCAATGTGTAATACCTCGATTGGCATTATCGATGGGGCCGACATGTTGAGTACTCGAGGCTAGGGGAATGCTCAGGACCTGGATGATTTCTTTGAAGGATACAGATGTCGGTAGTAGCGATGTGTGTGCTTTTAAGCGTTGAATATATCCCGAGCGCGCAAAACATAGCTTGTGTTGTCACAGGTCAACTTCACGCTCTACGATGGCCACACGCCATGGCGCTCCGTCCCATATACCTAGGATCTGTGAGCACTGCGCAATAAGTTTTGCAAAGGGTGCATTGAGAATTTTCCCATGGCCAGGGTCTGTAAGTATTACGCGGTTAGTTTGGCAAGGACCGCGCTCAAAGAATCCAATATGAAGATTGCTACAGGACGGAAAAATGGTTTGGGAGTAGGGGCGAGAAGGAAGCACAGCTTGAGTGATCCGGACCCAGAGAGGATATTTGACTTATCCCATAGTCTTATCCTGGACTTCGCTGTGACTGACAGTGCACTGGATGACAAGTGCATTTTTCCCTGAAAGATCGGTTTAAAACTGGTCGAACAGGGGCCGTGTTTCTCCAGTTTTCACTTCACTTTCCGCTGGTTTTACCGCGTTTTAGTGTGTTTGGCCAGTTTTGCACCGGATTTCACCTCAGTTTGTCTCTATGTGAGACCGAGGAAAAACAGGCCTTGTGCCGTTCAAATTTTCTTGAGGAAAGAAATGTGCTGACCTGTTGGAGTTAGAAGCAAATGGGAACAAGAGCAGGCGCCATGCCTTCGCACAGCTGTGCTTAAATGCAAATGCCACGGGTCGGAGTCAGCACTGAAAGAACCCCGTGAACCAAGGTCCGCGATTGAGCGGAGGTTCCACGAATCCAACAAGGATCCGTGAGCTGCGTCAATACAATCACCCACGCCGCATGCATGAATTGCACATGTTTTTGGCACGCCTTTATTGTACTTCTGAGCTCCATGTCGTACCTTTCAAAGACTTCCATACTTCCTTCTCAGCCTAAGCTGCTTGTTGTCGCCAGTAACGCTCGTAGGGTTAACGTGCTGTCTTGTTCCCTGTGCAGCTATCTCATGCGTATCAAGAAGGCGTGCTGCAACAGCACAGATGAAAGATATATACGAGTCCGCAGTTCTGGACTTGCGCGTACCGCCTAAACNTTTCATAGAACAAACACCGC